CCCTCCTGCTGCCAGCCTTCAGGGAGCAAGGATAGCGCTGCGTAAAAGGAAAGTCCCCTGAAAAGACAGGCACAGGGTGGGAGTGAAGTGTGCAGAGGTCTGAGTAACCACAGAGAACGTGGGGCAGGCGGGGTGTCTAATGAGGGGCCGTAGGGAGCTGAATGTATAATGTGCTGTGTAAACCCCACTGCAGGATTCCCACCCGGGTGCCTCCAGGGCCCTTTCCGTAAAGGTCTACCCTACGTTCTGGTGACTTTTGGAGCAGGAATTGGGTTTATTTCTCCCCGCCCACCCCCTCTTTTTTGCATGTCATACCGAACTGGGACAGGTCTTAAAACGGGCCAGTTTTATTTGAATCACAATTGTTTCCCTTTGAGCTAAAGGTTCAATCGTGGGAACTGCAAGTAACCAGTCAGAAAGGCCTGGGGCTCCCCAGACCCCCGCCCCGGGCGCACGCAGGGCGCAACCAACCGACGTTTCTCTCTCCCCCCTCCCTTCCACTCTCTCTAAAAATCAATGGGAAAAATATCCTTCTNTCCCTCCCTCCCTTCCACTCTCTCTAAAAATCAATGGGAAAAATATCCTTCTGTAAGGATTAACAACTACATACGTACGTAAATAAAACAGTTCTGTGTCAGCAGCGACATCACTCCCCTGTCCCTCCCTGGTCCCTGTTTTCTGAGGAATATCAGGGAAAGCTGAGGCTCAGCTGGGAGGCCGCCCTGGCACCGGCTCTGCCCTGGGCTCCACGTCAACGCTGCTCCCCGCAGCCCAAGGGCGTCCCACCAACCGCACTCGGCCCCTTCGGTGGGGATTAATAAGTATTAATATTTAATTGCATTGCTGATAATGCGGTTGAGGTTATTTACTCAAAAAAAAAAAAGTTTTGGTAAACACTGTAGCTTTTTAAGCAATCGGAGCAGGTGCATTATTGATTCCCACTAAGTACCGGAGACACTGACATTGCTGAGTCCGCCTCGGACGCCAGCCTATTGACTTTCTTGTGAGCATCCCTCGCTCATCGCGCCGACCCCGTGAGGTGGCGTCATCTTCCCGTCCTGTTGGGTGGAATATAGACGTTGGCTGGAGCCGCTGAGTCAGATGCACAAGATCCCGGCCGGTCAAAGGCCGAGCTCAGGTTCACGTCCAGCCTCCAAGTCCACGTCCACAGCGGTGTCCCCTTCACTAGACCAAGAAGGGGTGTTTCTCTCTTACGCAGCGAAAAACACAGTAAAGACGAGTTTTGTCTAATGTATTACCCACTTCTCACAACGTTCAGGGCGACCTTACTTTTCGGGAGACAGTCTCTGTCCTCAGCCCGGCCAGTGTGGCTCATGGTTGAGCGTCTGCCCACGAACCAGGAGGTCGGGGTTCGATTCCCGGTCGGGGCACGTGCCCGGGGTGCAGGCGCGATCGCCAGCAGGGGCCGTGCGGGAGGCAGCCGATCGGCGACATTTCTCCCTCATCAATGTTTCTCTCTCGCTCCCTCTCCCTCCCTCTCTCTCTCAAACAATACAAGCATATTTTAAAAGATAAAATAGTTACAAAAAGAAAAAAAGTCTTTCTCGTTGGAATGACTGGCCAGCCCCTGAGGTGAGCGGCCGTGGACACTGGCCACACGGTCGGAGTCCGAGTGGCTCGCACATCGGTCCACTCGGAACAGTCCTTGGAGAGAAGAAACGTCCCCGACGCGTTGCCGGGCGGTGCAGGTGGCCGGCTCGGAGGCCACAGGGCTTCCGCCCTCGCTTCAGGCACCCGCCGCCCGGCTCCACGCCAGGTCGAGTCCATAAATTCTTAATCATCTGAGCTCACGTTATTGGGCCCCTGCCACGAGCAAGGGACGGTGTCAAGGGTTTTACCTGGGACACCCCTTTGAGTCCTCGAAACGACCCCAACAAGCAGGTACCGTAATTACCTCCCGTGAACAGTGAGGAAACTGAGGCCGGGCGGTCACGCGTCTCACCTGCCGTCTCAGAGGGAGGGACGGCGGAGCCGGCGTTCAGACCTGGCAGCCGGGCCCGCCTGGCGCTCTGGGCTCCTCCTCACGCGCCTGAGCCAGCCAGGTGGCGGCCGCCGTGGTCCTCAGGCGGGGACGTGGCCTGGGCCGGGCTTGACCGGGAAACGGGTCTTATGTGGGGTGTGCCCATGAGAAAACCACCTACTGAGCGCTTCCGCGGAGCCAGACGGCGCTGCCCTGTGCCCGTAGCCGCCGTTTCTCGCCAGCCGCTGCTGTGCGTCACGGTCCCCACCGCACAGGTGTGGCTCGGAGGTCACAGTTGGAGTGTCCGCCCCTCAGTAGGACCCTAACGACTGTACTTCCGGCTCTAACTTTCCTTCTTTTATTCACAACGTTCTCATTTTCATGTGTTTCCGACCCCTTACCTGTTAACCCGTCGGTGACAATGCGCCTGGGAAACCGTTTTCCTCCAGGCTGACGTCTGGACGCTCGCGTCACGTAAGTTCTCCGGAGTCATTAATTTCCCCCAGGGTGGTCGGTAATAAAACAAGTAAAAACCGTCAACCCAGCCCTGCTGCTGTGGCTCAGCAGTTGAGCAGCGACCTAGGATCCAGGAGATTGCGGTTCGATTCCCGGTCGGGGCACAGGCCCCGGTTTCGGGCTCGATCCCCAGCCGGGGGCGCGCAGGAGGCAGCCGGTCCTTAATGTTTCTATCACTTCCTCTCCCTTCCTCTCTCTCTAAAAATCAATTTTAAAAAAATGTCAATGTGAAATAGAGTCATTGTCTCCCTTTATAAAAAAAAGTTGAAGTGAGAGCCAAGGGGAGGAAGCCCTGGCCGTGGGAGCTCGTCGGGGACGCCGCCCAGGCCCTGCCGCCCGATGGGGGCACCCGGGGTGGTCTCCTGCCCAGTGAAGGCGTAAACGCAAACCGTCTGTGAACGTGTTTCGGGAGGCAGCGCAGTGAGGAAGCCATCGGGTTTCACTTCCCGGTCGCCTCCGTGCTTTCTGGACTCGGAAGCCCATGGGGAAAATGCTTGTTTTTCACCCGTCTGGCATTTTGGTTCCTGTAAATAAAAAGACTCCTCAGAACGGTCAGGACATGCGTGGATCCTGGAGGCACCGCCCGAGACGAGACGGGGTGTCCCGAGGGCCCGCAGGAGCCGAGGGGGGTGACACGGGAAGTCGCTGTCGGCCGCTTGCGAGCTGCGGCCTGGCCTGCGATGGGCTAAAGCTGGCGACGTGGCTCTTTCCGCCGCCTCTGGGCCCCAGGCTCCCTGCCGCCGCAGCTGGTCCTGCTCCGCGCTTTCTAAGCGGCCGGGCGTGCTTCCCGCGGGTTGGCTCAAGGACTGTGATGTGCTCGCTGGTGCTGTAATCCTCACGTACAGGTGAGAACAGGAGATTTAAAGAGATGCAGGGATGTGCCCGGGTTCACGCGGCTCAGACACGAAAGGCCCGGCTTTGAGCCCAGACCACCGGGCGGCGGCACCCGGTGTGGCCTCGTGGCCTTTGTCCCCCGAACACTCCCTCCTGGGGGCCACGGGCTTGGCTAGGTCCCTTCCCACCTTTTAACTGAGGCTTATAAATGCCCATTTGTTTTGTGTAAAAGATGCCGGTTTTCAACAGAGGCCAGGAATGACACACCAGGTAATATAAACATAACTTCCATTAGGCTTTTAAAATATTGTGATAAAATTGCCCATTTTACCCCCCGTAAGCGTAGTTTGCAGTATTAAGCACCTTCACACGGTTGTGTAACCTTCCCCAACACCCCCTGTTGCAAAACCCATGTTCTTTCCAAGCGTCTCGGCCGCTCGGATGGCCCGGGGAAAGGTCCAGGTCAACGCTGCTGTGCAGGGGACGCTCCTGCCCCGGGAAGAGGGACGGCCGGCTTTCTGACCCAGCGTGAAGGGGGGAGGGGACAGGAAGATGCCAGCGCCCGTGTCCCTGTGTCCCACCCCCTTCCAGAAACAAATCTGGGTGGCGAGGGGACCAAGGACTCATGACCTGCTCAGAAGAGGCAGCTGTGCCTGCGGGGCCCTTCCCCTTACGCTCTGATCCCTACGTCGTGATAGGAGCGGACAGGACTTTGTGACCGGAGGCGGTGGCTGTGATGGTGACACGTGCAGCTATGGTCCCTCCCAGACCAGCTGACAGATGTCAGCACACACGGATGGAGGCCGGGGCCAGCCCAGGCCAGCCAGGCCACGTCAGAGGTCAGCAAGGACCGGGGGACGGCCCGCAAGTCCAGGTCCGCCAGGCGCACCCAGGCACCCTCTGCGTGGGCCCGGGTGGGCACAGAGATAGGATATCTTTAAAAAGAAAACCCACCCTGCTTAAACCAGCATAGACCCAGATGACACTGATTTTATTTCCGGGGGGCACCTGTTAATTCAGTCCATCCCCCCCCGCCCCCCCCGGGTGCAGACGGGAAATGACCTTGGGGGTTTTTCTTCTGTGCAGCCGCCTTGGACCTGAGCAGGCCCATGAGGACGGCTTATCCCTGCCCATGAATTAATGTGAATTATGAACGTACACAGTGGCCCCTCCCTCGCTACCCACCGCCCGGCATAAAATACAGTCGCCCAAGAGAGAACTATTCCAGGTTTTATTAGAGAATATATCTAAAATACAGCATCTATTTAGGATATAGTATCTGGGTGGACGTTTACTCTGTGTCACAACTGTAGTTGTACCGATCTGCACAGGAGGCGCCCGGCTCGCACCCCTGTGGTTCCAGAGCCGCTGAACTACAGGATTCACACCGGAGGCCCCTGGCTTCGGAGGTACGCGGAGGCTCACGTTTCCCTGCCGGACGGCATCTCGGGGTCGGGACGCTGGCCTCCCTGGTTTTCGCCCCGCAGCTCAGGGAACGGATCCGAGCTCAGTGCGCTTTCCCGTTTATTGGCGGCGGCATCTCAGTGCGAGCACCGCGAGCAAGTCAGGCTCCTCTTCCCACCCCTTTAGTTATATTCCCCACAGAAAGGCCACCACCCAAGCGAAGCGCCCGCCACGGCGAGGCTATCAAGAGCGACAGCTGCCCCGGCTCTTCCCACGTTCACAGGACTCTCCTCGGGCGAGAGGTGAAGGGTCTGGGTCTGGGGGCTCCGCGCAGCCAGGGTCCGAGCTCGGCCGCAGGGAGACCACAGACTCGCGGTCCCCGGGGACGCTGGGCCCGGGACCCGCTCATTTGAAGGAAGCCCTGACCTTCCGGTCGTGCAGGGGCTGTGCCGGGCGCCAGTTGTCCACCATGGGCTCCTCGGCTTCCCCCTCCCCGTGGAAGCTAAGCTGTCGGAACGTCATCATCTAAAAGACACCGTAAAAGATGAAAGGATTAGGAAGAAAAGGTTCCCGGCAGTACTGACGTAGGGGCCCTGTCACATCTCGAAATACACCCCAATATTCCTTGTGTGCATGTTTAACTGGATCCCCAACAGAGACAGAATCGCGTACAGATCACACACGTGTGCTTTTAAGAACAAATCCATTTCTATAAAATATGCATGAAATTGCGACTTGGGAGGACATTTCCAGTTAACTTTCCGTTTCCCTTTTGATTTTATAATCAAAAGCCTACAAGATGCCTCTGAGATGTAAAACAATAACAATTCTAAATGCAAATTGAAGTCTCCTCTTCTGCCCCGGGGAAGATAAGCTCCAGCCTGCGCACAATTAGGTGAATGGTCCGGGGTCCGCAAGCCCGGCGGCGTCTCTGCTTCAATACACGGACATGGGGAGGAACGTGCCTGAGCTGGGAGCTAAGTCCTGGTCTTTTTCATTTGTCCCCTGGCCCCGCGATGGACACAGGCAGCCTCACCCGTCGCCCGCTTCTCGGGGGTTGTTGGGCAAAGCGGTTCCTCCCCTTCCCTGCACGAGACTCGATCTAAATGAAGGTCGTCAGCAGCCACCAGTCAACAGCCTTTCACCTGAGCTCTTTGGTTCAGTAACATTCCCACGGTCACCCCCACAAAGTCAACTTCACTCACAGTCGGCCACAGTGACCTGCACCCGCCCCGCTGTGACTGCGAGGCCTTGATGACCTGCCCGGCGCAGACCACGCGCACCCTCTGGGAGGCCAGGCATTCATCTTGCCCGCTCCGGCTACCTAGACGAGTTTTAATAGGCGCCTTTTCTCCAAGGCCCAACTCTCGCCTTGGTCAGAACTCAGGGACNGTTGGGCAAAGCGGTTCCTCCCCTTCCCTGCACGAGACTCGATCTAAATGAAGGTCGTCAGCAGCCACCAGTCAACAGCCTTTCACCTGAGCTCTTTGGTTCAGTAACATTCCCACGGTCACCCCCACAAAGTCAACTTCACTCACAGTCGGCCACAGTGACCTGCACCCGCCCCGCTGTGACTGCGAGGCCTTGATGACCTGCCCGGCGCAGACCACGCGGCACCCTCTGGGAGGCCAGGCATTCATCTTGCCCGCTCCGGCTACCTAGACGAGTTTTAATAGGCGCCTTTTCTCCAAGGCCCAACTCTCGCCTTGGTCAGAACTCGGGGACATCTGGACACGAACAAAAAGGCAGGACGCTGGATGTGAGCGAGCGGGGGGCTGAGGGGTCTCCTCACCCCATGTAACCTCGGGCACGAGATCTCATTGCTCGGAGCCTCCGTGTTCTCAGTGTTCACAAAAAAATCACTTATTAGGTGACAGACGCCTCGCTCGCCTGAACCTCTGTTTTGTCCAATCTTATAGCCTAAGGTTATGGTCACTAGCAAGCGGTGTTTACTGCACGTTTCTCTCAGCTCCGCGCACACTCATTCCCCAGCCCGAGCACCGGGAGCACCACCAGGCCCGCCTGACCCCACAGCTGCCCCCTGGGCCGCCTGCCCCCCGAGGAAAACCCACCTGCTCACTGCTCACGCTGATGGGCTCCCTGAGCACGATCCAGGTCACGCACTCCAGGAGCGGCGGCGTGGTCAGGGAGCCGGGGTAGGTCCAGTAGTCCAAGCTGTTGGGAAGGAGCCCGTGGGGGTCAAAGTCGGTGAAGGCGGCGCTCTTACCCTGGCAGAAGGCAAACACTCGGGTCAGAAGCGTCAGGGGACTGGAGTAGGAGGCAGGCATAGATAATAGCCACTAAAGTATCTATATCTATCTATCTATCTATCTATCTATCTATCTATCTACTATGTATCTATGTATCTATGTATCTATGTATCTATGTATCTATGTATCTATCTATCATCTATCTATGTACCTATGTATCTATGTATCTGTGTATCTATGTATCTATCATCGTTGTTGCTAATCTTCACCCGAGGATATTTTTTCCACAGATTTTTAGAGAGAGCAGAAGGGGGGGGAGAAACATGGGTGTGAGGGAGACACATCGATTCATTGCCGCCCACAAGTGCCCCGACCAGGGCTGGAGATCAAACCCGCAACCCAGGTACGTGCCCTTAACTGGGACTCGAACCCTCAACCCTTCGGTGCGTAGGCCGACGCGCTAACCACTGCGCCACGCCGGCCAGGGCTCAGCCTCCCTTCAGTGCCGAGCCTCTGACTCTTGCACGTGAGCAGCAAGAGCACTAAACACGAGCCTAAAATCAGACCAGCGCAAGGATCGGCGTTCGGATGAACACGAGCGGGTTCATTATGTAACCAGCACGTTACCCTGGTTCGTTGCTCTGTCAAACGCCACTTGTCAAACCAGAACCGTTCCCTTGGAACAAAGGAGTTTTCCACAACCAGTGGGGCCGGGGACCCAGAAACCTGAGGAGGGGGCAGGAAACGGGGCCATACCTTTGTCTTGATGGCGCCCAGCGCGTCGACCACCTTCTGCAGGCCGGGTTTGTCATCGCCGATCTGCAGAAAGACACAAGGGGCACGACCACGTTCCGGGTGGTGCCCGCCCGTTTGGATTTGGGCGGCTCTGTTACAAAACTTCTCCAACTAGTGACCAAACCCTGCGCCTGCTCCCTGGCCCCGATGTCGCCAGGACGTCCCCTGAGGCTGACCACCGCCCTCGGCTTCCGCCCTTAGGGGTCCCCTGAAACGACCCTCGACCTCTCGACCTTTGTCAACAGTGCCCTCCAGCCGCAGAAGAGAGAACGCTGGCCAAGCGCTCGCCCTAATCTTCCGGTGGGACTTTACCTCTGGTCCTCCCTCGCT